CAAATTAGTTAATTTAAATTTAAAAAAGTTATGACCCAGGTAGAACTCAGGTCTGTCACTTGTCAAGCTGTTGTCATAACCCATTTGGCTATCAGCCGCTCTTATAAAAATCAATTTTATTTGTCAATAAATATTGTTCATAATATTTTAAAATTGAATATATTATTTGTGTTGCTGTTTTGAGCTAAACTTTTTGCATCTTTATTTGTTTTTATGGGTCATTTAACTATGTAGCTTAGGTATATGTATTTAATTCAAATAATACTTTGTTGTTGACCGAAAACGATTAAAGAAATTAGTTACTTTTAACTCTCAGAAATAGTCAAAGTTGGTGACTAATCTTAAATTAGTCAAACTTTAACTATTTACGTAGTAAAAAATAACTATTTAAAAGTGAAAACGACTATTTTATTAGTAAAAAATGCTGGTACTAATTCAAATAGTAGAATTTTTACTATTTCATTTTTAGAGAGCAAACAATATAAAAAGCTCAATTTGATTATGATAATGACGCGGAAGGTATAGCCTGGATTAATCCGGTCTTTTAAAAAATAATATATACAGTGTGGCCATTTAAGTTGGAAACACCCCCGTAACTTTTTTATTTGTTTTTCGATTTTAATAAACAAAGGCTCAAAAGATAGAGAATAAAAAATATTTTCAATGTATCTTGACAGATGCCTACTATAACATTTTTAAAAAATGATTTTTTCTATGTCAAAATTCGTGGTAAAATAAACTTGTCTCAAATAATAGTTAATTTTTGATGAAATTAAGTTTGTACCCATTCTGAAGTATGCCGCGTTCAGTGGCGTACTTATTTTTCTCCTAAATCTCCTAAATGTGTTTTATTTTTCGTTATAAATATTAAAAAAAAACTTGTCTAAAAAAGTTATTAAATCTTGGTTTTTAATGAAATTTGGTTTCTACCCATTTTGAAGCATGCCGCATTCAGTGGCGTACTTATTTTTTTCAAAACTACGACCCTAATAATTTTTTCCGAATTTTAACATAAAAAATTTTTTATAGTAGGCATCTGTCAAGTAACATTGAAAATATTTTTTATTCTCTATCTTTTAAGCCTTTGTTCATTAAAATCGAGTAACAAAAGTTACGGGGGTGTTTCCATCTTAAATATGCCACACTGTATGTAATTATAGGAAATACATGTTTTTTCTTAAAATATATTAAAAAAATATTACGTTACTTTAATAACAAGTCTATTTTTTCGTTTATATAAAACAGTAAAATGCCAACCAGTAATTAACCCTCCCCTGTCGAACTGCCAACATAATAAAACCAAAGGGCCCCAAAGGGTGGTGTCGTAGCGTTATGAAATCACGGATATGTGACAAATAACGGTTGACCCGTAAACACTATATATATAATTCCCCAAAGATAGAGCCCAAGTCACGCGATGGAGCGGGCACCTTAGATAGCGCACCGCTCATTTGACCAACGGGCGGTTATGACTGATGACCGCCGTCCACGCCCTCTGTCGTGACAATCGCGACACAAAAACCGCGGATCACTGCGATAACGAAAAAACTTTGTGTTCTCGCCGAGGGGCACGAAAATCTGGAACGCTAATGACTGGTTGACCGCTTTTCGCAGTGGGTTAGACGGTTTGGGGGGCGTTTAACTGTAGTGGAAAAACGGTTTTTGATGGACAGGTATTCATATTTTGCGTGTCAGTGTCATTTTGATTTACTGTTTCGATTGTAGCATTTGAAAAAATTACGCGGAGAATTGTCATGAGGAGGATTTAAATAAAAACCTACTTTGTCATTGAAATTACTGGGAATATTAGTCATAAAGTTTTAAATGAAATATCACCAGGGAGTTTCTCAAAACGCGTTTAGCGAAGTAAAATTTCCGATAAGAAAACTAGAAAATTGTACTGCCAAACACGCCCAAGTAGCACAACTGGTTAAGGTAGTTGTCTTGGTACAATATTGTCAACATTTTTTAGATTATACGCACCGTAAAAGTATACGAGCTTGTAGCTAAGTGATTAATATTTTTACGTTACCTTTACGTAATACTTTCAAATATTTTCGTCGCTTATGCTCAACCATCAGTCTGTTTGAATTTACTGCTGAAATAATATCTTTACTCGCGTACAGCGTTGCCAAGTTGTTTTTATCTGACACTAGTGACGTATACTTTTTTACAAATTGTTGAACTTTAAACGGTTATTTATAAACAATTGGACGGTCAAAAATTTTTAATTTTTTTTTAAACTCAGCAAAAATACATTAAAAGACTATTAGTTTTTTGAAAGCTTCTGACAGTTAGTTTTTTTTATAACTAATAAACTGGTACAGAACTACAGAAAGCGTATACAATCCATGTTAATTATCCAATTTTTAATTGAATTTATCTCTGGTTATAGACGGTCAATCGACTTCAAATTTTAAGGATAATTGTATTGTCAGGTCCCTAATAAGTATACAAAAAAAAATTCGGATGGTATGCTTACAGCACGACAACTACCTTAAATTAACATTTGAGTAATATGTATAGTAGGGTGCTTCATTTTAGAGCGACATGAAAATCTTGTAACCGGTCAGAAAACAAAAATTTTGAGCTATTACAATGCTCTTAATCTTTATTTTAAGCCGTTGCTATTCAATTTTTAAATATTTCCCTTTAAAAACCATGAAAAAACAATTTTTATTTCTTTTCTCCTTCCGCTCGTACAGTACAGAATATTTTTTTCAAATTTCAGTTCTAATATCTTTATAAAGGATGAAATTATCTTCAAAAATGTCTATTTAAGCAAGTCTTTATGTTAAATATGTTCTTCACAAATTGCCGTTCTATATATTTACTGCTATTTTAAAAGATTTTCGAGTATCCTCGAAAATCTTTTAAAATGGCAGTAATTACTTAATTTAAATCGTATTAGGAGACTAAACTATTGATTGTAGATAAAAAACGTAAATGACAATTTTGTAGGGAATTTTGTGCTTTACAATTTTGTCACAAAATATTTTTCTGTATCACTTAAAGTGTCAAATTCATAAAAATTCAGTTTCTGACGACTGTAATAACTATATACTATTAGAGTTACGTGAAAGAGTGGCTGTACAAGCTAAACCATAAGTGATACAGAAAAATATTTCTTAACAAATTTGTAGGGCATAAAAATTTCCTACAAAATTGTTATTTACGTTTTTTCATCTACAATCAATAGTTTAGTCTCCAAATACGATTTATTGCTATTTTAAAAGATTTTCGAGTATACTTCTATAGAACGGCAATTTGTGAAGAACCTATTCAACATACAGACTTTCTTAAATGGACATTTTTGAAGATAATTTCATCCTGTATAAAGATTTTGTAACCAAAATTCGAAATAAATATTCTTACTGTACGAGCTGAAGGAGAAAAGATAAAAAAAAATGTTTTTTAATGGTTTTTAAAGAGAAATATTTAAAAATTGAATAGCAACGGCTTAAAATAAAGATTAAGAGCATTGTAACATCGTAAAATTGTAACATTTTTGTTTTCTGACTGATTACAAAACTTTTAGGTGGGACTGGGGAAAAATGTCGATTTAAAATGAAGCACCCTAATGTATAGTGCTACAACGTAAAATTAACCTTAAATGAACGTTATTTTGTGGGAATTAATTTATGGTAAAACTAACGTTATATTATTTAAATTTAACTTCTTGGTTACAGTACCTTTTGGTTATTATAATAGTTAAAAAGTTGGTAGTTAAAAAGGGTAAAATAAACTAAAAACCACAAAATTTAATTCTTTTAACCAAAAGGTACTGTAAGGTACTTATAAGTAAGTCAACTATACATATTTATTATGATTATAATTAACCTGTTTAAGTTTAGTTTAAATTTTAATTACCAAATATGGTTATGTATAGATATGACTTACAGATCCTTAAAATGAAATGTCGCCCCTAAATATTAATACTTATATACGTAGTATATATAAGTCGCTTATTATGGGGTACCATTTTAATTTTTTTAATTATTTTCTTTATTTAGTTTTTTTTATTTTTCAGTTTGGCAACTTTGGTTCTTTAATATTTAAAATGCAGTTAAATGGTTAATTTTAAGGTTATGTTTGTGCAAAATGATTTTTTACTAATTTCTTAAAAATGTCCCAACTTAAATATAAATTATATTAGGTAAAGTTATCATTAGTTAATTCTGCACCAACAAATGTACTTACCGAATTGGGTACTTTGGAAAAACATGAAAATGCAACGATTTAGTTCTTGAATTTTATTTACAATAAAAACACAATAATTTACCATAATCCCTTAGATAAAACACACACTAACTTAACTATATAAGCATTTAAGCGTCGAGTATCTTAATCAATGATATAAAGAATAATCAATCGAAATCGAGTACTAAACCAGTTTTTTAGTTTTTTCCTTTTAACGTAAAACACAAATAACGTGCGCGATTTAGCTGTGCAGCTGAACAAAATTTGTCGAGTAAGACTTCTGCCTTCCTCTCTTTTTTGAAAAAACTACCTATTTATTTAAAAATGATGTACAGTTCGTATGTATGTGATGTATTGTTGACAATTCTTAAATTCACGCAATGCTTTTGAAGTCCACCAGATGGCGCGTGCGTGCATATAACAAAAATATTAATATCAATATAGCTAATTAATAATTAATATAATTAAAAAGTAAACATTATTTTCTAATGTTCTGTTTCTTTTATAAATAATTAAGTGTTTGAGAAGCAGGAAGCGTAGACATCTATATGATCTATTTGCTATTTAAATAGCTGCAATACGGATACAAACGTGTACAAACAAATTACGTATGCATCAAAATCCAATTCTGTGCACTGCCAACAAACAGCGCCCGGAGTCCCACTAGCAGCAGGAGGAGAAAGCAAGAGGAGCGATCGGGAGGGGGACAGCAGGAGAGGAGAGCGAAGAATCCGGGAGAGGAGAGAATCCGGAATATCGACCCCTATGCTCTTATCTACCCACCGCTGGCGTGGCATCACGGTAGGCGGGCCAGTTGCGCAGCGCAGTGCGCCTCGACAAAAGAAAATCGCGCGACGTACGCTACGGATCCCGTTTTTTATCGCAGGTGCCGTGCAAGAGCGAAACAAAAGATGCCAGGGCCTGTGCGATTTCGTTAACCGCGATCCGAAATCAAAAATTACGGCACAGTCGCTTCGTGGAAGTGATAAAACATGACAGCGAATACGGCGATCTGATTGGTCCGCGGGCGCGTACATGAAAAAAGACGATCGCTATTCTTATTGTCTACGCCAGCCAGAGCTGTCTTGACCCAACAACCGCGAATGTGTTTGTTAAGACATGCAGCTTTAACTTTTTTAGTGATTCAACTACCAGATTCTTTTTGAATGATTTTACAACATGAGATCCAAATCTGTTGCGCGCAGAGTACAGGCCCAAGGTAGGATTTTTTCTTATAAAATGTTTTCTTTTTTTACCAAATTACAAAACTCTAAATATCGACTAAATAGAATTGTAAAACAATATCTTAAAAAAGCAAAATTAATAGAAAATAAATTATATATGGTACCTACCTACTACATAATATACATAATAAAAGAGTTTAAAGTAAATAATTTACTATAATGCAAACTAAACAAGCAATGATTAAAAAAATATATATGTATTTAAAATAGCGATAGTCATATAAATTGTTAAAGCGCTATAGCAACAAAAATGATAAAATTAATATTTTTATAACCTGTATCTAATTAAATTGTTATTTATAAAGCCTTTCGTATGATAACACAATAAAATTGTATTGCCCTGATATCAATTTAAATAACGCAATATACAAAAAATCATATTATTTACTTGAAATTGCACATTGCACATAAGTGACTGACGATTGTATTCACTCTTGCATATAAATTTAAACACGCCTTTTAGCAGGAGCTTCCAATATAGTGTTTAATTAGGTATATCTTTAATAAATCGGTTGATAAATTTTGAAACTCAATAAAAAACAAATTTTGGTGATTTTTTATTTGTTCTTGAAAATACTTAAACCACGCCTTTTAGCAGGAGGAGTAAGCAATAGAGTGTCGTCTTCACTTCACTTATCTGTTGATATAGTGGGGATAGATAAGTAGGGAGTGTCTTCAAGCTCATCCTGCTGGCCTATGAAACGACGCTTCTGCTGTGCCGCAGGAATTTTGCATTTTGTTTGGTGCTTGCTAACCGCAGATTAGTGTTTTAATAAACATAATATGTTATATATTATATATTATATGTATATTATATATTACTATTACTATATTAACATGAAAAGTGAAATTTAAAAGAGGTTTAAAAAAAGTGACCATCTTCTGTTAATTTCAATTATTTATTTTAAAGTTAACGACTTTATTTGATTATCAAGGTAAAAATTTCACTTATTTAATGTCATAACAAAATTATTATCAAAAATGGCGAATGCGCCGGGATTAATTAATTATATTTTTTAATTGTTTGTACAGTAATTTTTATTATACTTATATCAAGGTAATAATTACATTGTTTATCAAATCATTTAAAAAACTATTTACATACACATTAAAAAATAGGTATTACCAAAATTTCATAATAATTAAATAATAATTTTAACACTATCTTTAATATAACACATCTAAAAACGGTTGGTAAAAAATTAAAAGGGTATTATATAACGTCAGTGTGCCATTTTCGAGACACCCTGTATATCTAAATATGCATATTTTAAAATTTATATTAAAAGATTAATCAAAATACAAAAAAACTGTAAAATATAAAAAAAATGTTCAAATACATTTTTCACTATTATTTATAATGTTCTATCAATTGGCTCTAGATAATAGTATATTATGTATCAAGTTTAATAAACACCATTTTATACACGAATTTAATTTAGGCACGAGCGAGCTTGCGAGCGAGTGCTTAAATTAATGAGTGTATAGAAAAGTTTATAAACGAGGTGCATACTATACTTTTTCTACGACAAATACTTATTATTATCTTAAAATGATTTAAATTAAAAATTTGTATAGAGCGCCATCTATAAAACAATTGGGGAATCTGTGTGTCACCGTCAAATGTCAAATTTTTGTATTTTATAAATACAATTATAAATCGAAATCGAAAATTGACAGTTTTTCACAGTGCACTCTAAGAAAATATATTGTAATCCCCAACAATACAGATTTGTTATGCAAAATATGGTTCATTTAATTATAACTTATGGTTGTAATAACAATATAAGAAAAATTAGTTTTGTTATATGTACTCGAATCATTTTGTTATAAAAATTTAGTAAAGTTAGATATTTGATTAGGCTATTACAACCATCATGTACGGCTAAACTGTTAGTACTACACTAGATGGTTAAAATTATAAGATTATCTGGTTACAATATCAATATAATGTTGTCACACATTATTAACAATATGTCGTTGTAGTTTTTACTATACAGAAAGTTTATACATATCATACGTATAGTATATTTAACCATGTAGAGGGTTATAAGGTATTTGCATATGATTATTATAACTAAATAAATTATTGTTTTGTGCAACAACAAAAATATAGTTAAAGTGACAATAAAACTGTTACAATATAAACATGGTTAACATAACAGTAAATATGGCTGTGCCTATACTAATCAGAATATTTAGTAAAAGTTACTATATATTCGATTAAGATAACCATTTTTTTTTCTCAGTGTGAAAGTAAAGAAAATGTTTTATGAGCACTTTACAGTGGAGTCCGTGCCCGAATTTATAGTTTACTGCCGGCGAAATTAAAAGGTCAGTTCATATAACCTTTCAAATATTGGCGATGAGAAACTATTTAATACTTTTGTATTTTTGTATTGAGATAATATAATAATTTTTAAATTTAGTATTATTTTACAAGAAAGGCACTTTATTTTAACTTGTATGACATTTGACAACTGTCAACTAACTTAAAACTAACTTCAGCCCGTGACTAAAAACCTGTTGCTAACTTCAGCCCGTGACTAAAGCGCCATAAAACCACAACTTGTCAATGTGTATTTAAAAGGTCACTTAGTGTCATGGAAACATGTACGATAAAGGGCGTTTTAAAGGTAGAAGTAGGAAAAATATAATAGGCTTTGTAAAAAAATACCACAAATAAAAAAATAAAGAATAATTATCATAATTAATAAATAAAATTAATTGCAAATCTACAAAACCCAATTCAAATTAATTTTTAGAACATTTTAAAGAGTTTTCACTGGTAACTTTATACTTATTTGTATTTATACAGTATAAATGACGACATTGAAGACTTACGTATTAATTAAAGCTTGATTTAACGACTTTAACGTATCATGCCAAATGTAATTGTAGATATTTATTGAAAACCCAAAATAGATCTTGGCCTCAATAAATATGTTTGGCAGACAAAATATAACACTTAAATAATAATTTCAACTTTAACAAAAAGCAAACATTAAATTATTTAAATAAAAATTATTTTTGAATAAAATATCAAAAAATACAAGGTGTGAAAAGTTTGATGAATTTTTTTACACAACAAATTTTTTCGCATCCAGTCTAGTGTAAAATCAAGATCTTAACAAGTTGATGTAAAAACAAAACAAGTACTTATTTACGATCTTTAGATAATACAAATGCATGCATTTTTTTGATATCAAACACTTGGAACCTTTAACTTAGGGGAAGGTTCTTTTCACCAATTAAATAGAATACTTTTTACAAAGCGCACCAAAATTAAATTGAAGGATTTAACGGTCTTAAATAATACAATTAAAGCTATTTAAAAATCAATCAACTGATTTTGAATAAGTAGACAACTTTTGCAATGAATAAAGATTCAAATCTTTGTTTTTTTGTTCTTGAAATGTTTTTGTCAGTTGACTACAAAACATAATAAGTGGTTTAACGAATTTATACCTATAGGAAAAAATGTGCAAATTTTGTGGCAAATACATGTATAACTGAATAGTGTTATGCAACAGGGAACCAACCCTCAAAATCTACAAAAATAAGATAAATTTATTAATGTAATGGGGGCAAGTACCACCTTTTGAAAATATATTTAAGAAATAAAAAATGCGAAAAAAACATTAAAATATTCAAAATAATACAGAACCCTGCAAGGAACCTGTCTAAATATCAACAAAGGCCAAGGCGCATGGTTGAGCCAACTATATGAATTATATTAACGGTAATCCGTTGGTAATTAAGGAAAATAGGATCTCTATAAACAGTAAATAAGTGCTTAGCAACCGTATGGATGCCATGGTAAGGAAATATTTCTCCAGCAACGGTAACGCTTTTCGATAATATATAATTAGGTTCATAAGGAGTCCATGTATTGTATGCTCTAAGGTTTATCCATATTTAATATACTCTAAGATATATCTTAATCAAAGAATTTTGAGCCATACTATAGTATACATTTTCAGTCTAAACTGAATATTAGATAGGTAGAAAATTTAACTAATTGTAAGGGTTTATTTTTAGTATATATGTTTGTTTTCCTATATTAATAATCTATTTGCATATAATACAAACATATTCACCCTTGCTCTGTATAATAATTACCAAACGTGTGCCGTATGACGTTTATTAAAACCATAATTATAATTACCAAGCCAATTTGGGCATTGAATAATTACCATAAATAAAATTAATATCATAAGTGGTAGATTACATATTTGAAATGGGTTGGTATGTAATAAAAAGCAGGAAAATTAAGAAGATACATTTTGAGTTGAATTATTTATTATGGAAAATCGAGATTATTTTAAAAAGTACCTAAGGACAAAACATTACTAACATGATGTATTAAAGTTTTCGTTCCCATATATCATGTTTGAAAAAGCATGACAGTTATACCCTGTATATTCTATTGCGAATATATTGGAAAAGGTCGGATTCATATGTTAATAAATATTTTTTTATGTTTTGCCTCCCACACGAAGTTGTTTAAGGAGCTAAAAATTAAAATGTTATCAACAAACTTTTCTATGACATGAATGTGTATATATATATATATATATATATCAGATTTATAGCTCTTTGTTATAATCTTGGCGTTATTTTAGTGCGTTTGTGTCATTAGTATAAGAAATTAATTTCTGGATTTATCGGTTTTTACACCAAACAAGTGGCATTGCCAACAATATGCAATAAAACGTTTATTTTCAATGATAATTTCAATTGTAATTTTTTATGCTTGTAACGCTAAATGTCATGATACAATTGAAATGTTTATTTTGAATTTGATACATTATGGTTTGTTTATAACAAAGGAATCTTATCAGAAAATTATATTAAATACACTTGTCAACATGATCAATGGATATGGATCAGAGTTAATCAAACATATTTTAGTTACATAATTGTTTTAAAACACTAATACATTTATATCACAATTCAATTAAATATGGTTTTT